AAAATGGGCCCATGCAATAAAGGTTTCAAGTGCAATATGTTTTTGTAAACTTTGTAAATTCCTTAAATAAAATACAATATCAAAGTATCAAGATACTGTAATACAACCCTTCTTGAATAATCAACACGTTAAAGCAACTTCCTAAGGAAATTATACTTTTCATTTGACACCACTGTAGGTTTGTATTGTACATGAATTTCGAACTAGCGAGCATAAAAGGAAAACTAGTCTTCTCCTTTGTACATATTTACAAGACAAAGTATAAATTTAGCATATTACAAGACGTGGGTTATTAACACACCCTAAAACAGCAAAACAAGTCACCAAATTTACATACATAAGTGTAACATATAGATCATATATAAAACCTAGGTGCATATGCAAATGTGGTCTTCACAAAAGCTCCCAAAAAGTCTACACCAAAAAGGCCTTCTTCGAATCTCTTCTCGCACATTATCTATGATAGAAAACAAATATCGCTTAGCATAAATCTTAGTGGCATATAAACTTTGGGCTTGGAGCCATTAGATTTTCCAATTCCCCTTTTCAGTCATAGGTAGCTCAAATGAAACATAAGTTTAAAACAAATAAACAAATATATCAAAAGTATTGAATATCAAACCTTGAAGTATATCCAAATATCAATAACAATGTTCAAGAATCAAGTGTCAAGAGAGCGTATACTATCAATCCATGAGAGTTTGCCAAACATCCATTTTTCGCCCAATATGTACGTCATGCCATCACACTAAGCATAATCAGATATCAAGATGGACCAAAGCCCCAAATCAAGTAGGGTCGAAACCCAATAGTCAAGAGAATCAAGAACCATATTAAAAATGGCTTTCTAGTTCGTACTTAACACGACAAGTTTCATAATTTAAGACGAACCACAAACCCAAAATCAAGATGGCAAAAGATTTGAATCAAGAGGCGTGCTGAGATGAGTGACAAAGTCACTGCCACAAGAAGGACAAGTCCCAACAAGAATGCAAAATGATCAAGCAATCTGTACGAGTGGGCGATTTAGCGAAATCTTACAATACTTGATATAACACGAATACAATAATATAAATAGAAGAAGAGAGAAACAAAATCTCATGTTATTTCAAAACATTCCAGCAAGTAAAAAGAGTACAGAGTTTATACATAAACCTTAGTGTTTTACCACAAAATAGTTCAATCACAACTTGAGGATGTTCGAATCGTCTCTGCCATAGACCAACCAAATCCGTCCACTTCTTCAAACACTTCCCCTTAGATTTTACAAGGGTATATATACCTTAAATATATAATCAAATATTTATATAGGTTCAGTGACTTCAGCATGTCGAACTAAACATGATATTGGTTAAAATCACCCTAAATATTTGAAATAGAAATTCTGGACAGTACTATTATCTTGTCTTGTGGCTAAGGTTTGAAGATATAAACCAAGGAAATACACTTTATGGTATTCATGAAAGTTGTAGATATGTATATTAGGGTTCTTTAGAGTCTTAAATCACCCAAATATCAGTTTTTTTATAAATAGTTATGCTAAAAATACTAACAGTAGTGCAGGTAGGGTTTGTAAAATAGAAAATATGGGCAGCACCTGCCCTGTACCTTATTATTCCTTTTGGGTAAATAAAAGTAAAACTAGATTTTTGTACCTTAATAAGAGTTATAGAGTTATGAAATATCTTTCCAGAAAAGCTTGGATCACTTAAAACAGAGCTTTATACAAGAAGATATGAAGAAAACACTAATAGTTGTCTAGTGTAAAAACAGATTTAGTAACTTACCAAAAAAGAGAGGAGCAACTTGAGCTTCACCAAGAACTAGTTTGGCTGGTTAGTTTAGTGAAAATTTCTGATGGTTTTCATGTAGTATTTCATGTGATAAGAAGGAGAAAGGGTAGGGGTTTTCTTTGGCATGAAGGAATGAAATATGAGAGGAGGTTATGGAAAAACAAGTCACAAAAGTAATATATATGAACTTTGGATAAGTATGAAAAATTTGTCTGCCGAAACTACTAAATATCTTTAGATAATATGGAAGATTTGCTGCCCAAAACCTTTATATATATATATATTAACACAATCTAGAGTAAACAACTTTTCTATATCGTCAAATTCACGTTTAGGAAGTGCGAAGTGAAATCCATCCTCATTATAAAGATGCTCAATCGAGAATGCATATATTAGTCAAAACTTTGGGGCGTTACAGCACCTCTCTCTCCAAGGACCTTGAGATGAACCTGCTTAGAGCTGACAACCTACCGGTCAACCTCTATACTTCTTTCACACTCGTTAGCTGGTCCGGGATATCCTCGATGGCTTTAATTTTGTCGGAGTTTGCCAAATATCCATTTTTCGCCCAATATGTACGTCATGCCATCACACTAAGCATAATCAGATATCAAGATGGACCAATGCCCCAAATCAAGTAGGGTTGAAAACCAATAGTCAAGAGAATCAAGAACCATATTAAAAATGGCTTTCTAGTTCATACATAATACGGACAAGTTTCATAATTTAAGACGAACCACAAACCTAAAATCAAGATGGCAAAATATTCGAATCAAGAGGCATGCTGAGATGAGTGACAAAGTCACTTCCAAAAGAAGAACAAGTCCCAACAAGAATGCAAAATGATCAAGCAATCCGTACGAGTGGGCGATTTAGCGAATATCTTACAATACTTGATATAACACGAATATAATGATATAACTAGAAGACGAGAGAAACAAAATCTCAAGTTATTTCAAAACATTCCAGCAAGTAAAAAGAATACAGAGTTTATACACAAACCTTAGTGTTTTTCCACAAAATAGTCCAATCACAACTTGAGGACATTCGAATCGTCTATGCCATAGACCAACCAAATCTGTCTACTTCCTCAAACACTTCCCCTTAAATTTTACAAGGTTATATATACCTTAAATACATAATCAAATATCTATATAAGTTCAGTGACTTCAGCATGTCTAACTAAACATGATATTGGTGAAAATCACCCTAAATATTTGAAATAGAAATTCTGGACAATACCACTGTCTTGTCTTGTGGCTAAGGTTTGAAGATATAAACCAAGGAAATACACTTTATGGTATTCATGAAAGTTGTAGATATGTATATTAGGGTTCTTTAGAGTCTTAAATCACCCAAATATCAGTTTTTTATAAATAGTTATGCTAAAAATACTAACAGTAGTGCAGGTAGGGTTTGTAAAATAGAAAATATGGGCAGCACCTGGCCTGTACTTTATTATTCCTTTTTGGGTAAATAAATGCAAAATTAGGTTTTGGTGTCTGAATAAGAGTTATAGAGATATGAAATATCTTTCCAAAAAAGCTTGGATCACTTAAAACGGAGCTCTATACAAGAAGATATGAAGAAAACAGTAATAGTTGTCTAGTGTAAAAATGAGTTTAGTAACTTATCACAAAAGAGATGAGCAACTTGAGCTTCACCAAGAACTTGTTTGGCTGGTTGGTTTAGTGAAAATTCTGATGGTTTTCATGTAGTATTTCATGTGATAAGAAGGAGAGAGGGTATGGGTTTTCTTTGGCATTAAGGAATGAAATATGAGAGGAGGTTATGGAAAAGCAAGTCACAAANATATATATATATATGAATTTTGGATAAGCAAGTCACAAAAGTAATATATATGAATTTTCCATATAATCTTTAGATAATATGGAAGATTTGCTGCCCAAAACATTATATATATATATATACAGTTTAATAATAATTAATCAAAAATACCATGGAACTTCTTTGTACATATTAACACAATCTAGAGTAAGCAACTTTCCTATATCGTCAAATTCACATTTAGGAAGTGCGAAGTGAAATCCATCCTCATTATAAAGATGCTCAATCGAGAATGCATATATTAGTCAAAACTTTAGGGAGTTACAACACCTCTCCGAGGACCTTGAGATGAACCTGCTTAGAGCTGCCAACCTACTGGTCAACCTCTATACTTCTTTCACACTCATTAGCTGGTCCGTGATATCCTCGATGGCTTTAGTTTTGTCGGGGTTTACTTTGATCCCTCTTTGCGAGACCATAAACCCCAAGACTTTATCGAAGCCAACCCTGAAAGCACACTTCTCTGGATTGAGCTTTATGTTGTACTTTCTCAAGATGTCAAATGTCTCTTGGGGATGTTCCAGGTGATCTCCTGCATTAAGAGACTTAACTAACATGTCGTCAATATAAACTTCCATCGCTTACCTATCTGCTTTTCAAACATCTTATTAACGAGCCTCTAATAAGTGGCTCCGATATTTTTAAGCCCAAAAGGCATCACATTATAGCAATATGTGCCAAAGTTTGTGATGAAAGAAGTCTTCTTTTGATCTTCCGGGTTCATCCTAATTTGATTATACCCGGAATAAGCATCAAGAAAATTCATTAACTCTTCCTCGGCCATAGCGTCAATCATTTGATCGATGTTTGGCAATGGGAAAGAGTCTTTGAAGCATGCCTTATTTAAGTCCATATAATCTACACACATCCTAAATTTATTATTTTTTTAGGCACCACTACTACGTTAGCTAGACACTCCGTGTACTTTGTCTCTCGAATTGAATCGATATTGAGTGATAGGGTTACCACTTCCTTAACAAACTTGTTTCTGACATATACTATCGGTCGTTTCTTCTGCCTTACCGGAGGGAAGTTTGGAACCAGACTCAATTTGTGGACCTCCACCTCTAATGGAATACATATCATATCTGAATGCGACCAAGGAAAGAAATCAACGTTAGATTTAAGAAAGTCTATGATTTTTAACCTGAGTTCGGGACTCAAACCCGTTCCTAAATGGAACCTCCTTTCCAAAAATTCTTCAAACAAAGCCACTTGTTTGATTTCTTCTGCGTTTGACTAGGTTGTATCCGTCTCCTCCGGTACCTGAAAAACCCTCGGTACCTGATATAATTTCGATGACTCCTCGTTTTTATCATCTTCGATTGGGATGGGAAAAGGTACTAGTTCCTGTAATTTCTATTTGCTGGTTTTTCTGTCCTTGCTGCTGGAAATGGTTACTACGTTCATCTCCCTTGCTACTGGTTGGTCTCCTCTTATCTGTTTGATCCCATCTGGTGTCGGAAACTTCAACAGTTGATGATAGGTCGAGGGCACATCCTTCATCTCGTGTATCCCCGGCCTTCTAAGGATCACATTATAGCTCATGTCTCCATCTACCACTTCGAATAGTGTGGTCCTTGTTACTCCTTCGACATGTGTGTGTAGCAAAAGTTTTCCTCGAGTAGTCACACTTGTTAAGTTGAAGCCAGCCAGAAGTTTTGTTGTCGGAATGATGTTCCCGGTTAACTTCGCTTGCTCCAAAACTTTCCATTGTATGATATTGGTCGAACTCTCTGGATCAACCAAAACATGTTTAATTTTGAAATCTAAAACATTAAGTGAAATTACCAACTCGTCATTATGTGGTAGAAGAAATCCATCAGCATATTCCTCTGTGAAGGTGATGTCATCTTCTGATACTTCTCGGATCCTCTTACCATGAGTCACTGAAATCTTCGTCTTCTTTGCTACTGAAAATGTCACCCTATTGACTTTGTCCCCTCCGAAGATCATATTGATTGTCATCCGAGGGGACCCTGCTGTTGGCTTCGATGGCTCTGCATTATCCCAATTTCTACCATAGTTGTTCTTGACGGGGTCGCTTAGAAACTCTCTGAGGTGACCATTCTTCAATAATGTCGCCACCTCTTCTCGGAGATGTTGGTAGTCCCTAGTCCTATGGCCATGAATCTCATGGAATTCACACCATAGATTGGGATCCGTTAGCTAGGATCCGATCAGATTGGTTTTGGAAACCTAGTTTCTTTAATATTCCTCATCGCCGACACCAATTCTACTAGGTTGGTATTGAAGTTTAATTGGATAGCCTGGGGGACGATGGATCTCGGGACCCTGGCGCCTCTTTCTCCTGTAATGATCTGCTATTCTGACCACGGTCTGTCCTTCTATCAAAAATGAACATGTTCGATGACTGGAATCTCTTACCACACCCATCAGCTCTCTCGTAAGGTTGAAAATGACTCCTAGAGGGTCTCTGATCCACATCAAAATCATTTTTGAGTTTATCCTGATTCCGATAGAGATTTCGTCCTTTGAGGGACGCTGAAGAACCCAGTTGGTCATCTTCTGTCCTTATCTTTGACTCGTAGCGATTGTGAACATCTTCCCATGTGGTTGCCTGAAACTCGAGCAAGCTCTCCTTCAATTTTCGGGAAGCATCGGAACTCAGGGGATTGAGACCCTTCGTAAATGCCTCCGCTGCCCACTCATCTGGAACCGCTGATAATAACATCCTTTCTTTCTAGAACCGGATTATGAACTCCCACAACAGCTCGGATTCTCCTTAAGAAATTCTAAATTTGTCCGCCTTCCTTGCATGGACCTTTCTTTCCTGATCATGAGCCTTGATAAACAAATCTGCGAGCATTTCAAATGAATCAATAGAGTGCTCGGGTAAGATAGAACACCACGTTAAGGCATCCTTTGTAAGGATTTTGCCAAACTTTTTCAACAAGACCGATTCGATCTCATACTGTGCCAAGTCATTCCTCTTTACTGCCATAATATAGGTGGTGATGTGCTCCTGTGGATCCGAAGTCCCATCGTATTTTGGTATATCTGGCATCTTAAACATCTTTGGGATCAACTCCGGTGCCGCACTTGGTTTGAATGGAAATTGTGTATACCTTTGTGAATCTGGACCCTTTAACACCGGCGACACGCCTGGGATCTGATCCATTCGATCATGAAACTCCTTTGCATTTTGATCCATCCGTTTGTTCATTTCTCTCATGAACCTCATGAGTTCGGTCTTGAAAGGGTCATTCAAGTTGTTGTTGCCAGATCCACTGTCGGCTCCTCTGGCCTCGTAGAAACCGACCTTATCCCTTGGAGTGTTGTTTCCGGTTCTTTGAGCCCTTTGGTTTGTAGGAGCACTAGGAGGAACCAGAACCCTTCCATTAGCATTATTGGAAGCACTTGATAACGCCTGCTTCAATTCTGTCATTGCACGATCTTGCCTTGAGAGATGATTCATACTCGCTTTTTGTTATTCTCTTAAGATTCTGACTATTTCAATGACGTGCTCATCCTCCACATCACTAGGAGTTAAGCCCCTCACATGTCGAGGATACTAACCTTTGCGTATTAGGGTTGCCTCATCTCCTTCGTTACAGGTTTTGCTAGTTGAATCATCACGCTGGAATTCATCTTCATGTTCGTTGTGTGTTTCAATATTGTTGACATCATTAGCTGCTATATCTGAATTTTCTTTTACTAGATAAATAATCAAAACTTGTTAGTAACAGGTGAATGAATCAAAGCAATTACACAATTGTCTATGCCCCACGGTGGGTGCCAAACTGTTAACCCGTAAAACGATATGGTTGAATTTATAACAGGGTTTATAGATAAGCGAATCAATTTGATACAACAATAAATAAGTGAATGAGAACAAAATTAAGATTGCCAAATGAAATTAGAGAAGATAACAATCATGACTAAGAACTTAGCCTTTCAGATGACAAGAGTAAAAGCAATGTTTAATAACAAAAAATGAGCGTAGTACAAAAGTATATTATAGCTCTTTGTGTGTAGAGACTTTTGTGATTACAATGGATGTTAATCCTTCTATTTATAGATTTATTTAGGAAGACAAGATCCTCAAATCAAGGTCCTCTTGCATGAGAATGAAATCGTCATTGATTGGTGCATAACGGTTGGCTATAAATGTAAATATTCTCTGTAACGGCTGCCCATTGAATGTTGTCCGATGATAATGCTTTGAATCTTTGTTACCGGCTGCTCTGTCTTCAATATTTGTTCATCACTGATTACATGCTTGCATCCGGTGCCAGCTATTTGCTTACTCACATCCCACATGTCTTTAGTTCCACGTGTCACTCCATCATTCGTCCAGCTGTCATTAACCAATTTTACCTCATACACTTATATTATTATTGTTGAGTTTTGGCTTGCCTAACAAGTAGGTTAAGCATTATCACAACCACTGGTGGAGTTTTGGGTTTTAACAATTAACTTAAGGGCACCCAGAATTAAGTTTAGCGGCATTTAGGGATCAAAAGATGTACAGAGAGTAAATTTAAACCATTACCAAACTTGTAACACCCCGAAAAATTTTCGAAGTACTTAAGTGTAAAGCCCGGTAAAATATGCAAAGAAAATAATGTTTCATGGTGTCGGACTAGGCATACGTATTTGAGGATTGTAGAAATTCTTCGCGGCGAGCTTGCGAGCTGTGGCTCGAACTTTTTGTGTTGAACAATGCATCGGAATGTAAAGGAATATTTTTGGCGGAAGAGTGCATTTTTGCGGTCCATTATACGACCGCAGAACCACTCTGCGGACCGCATAATGGTCGCAGAGTGAGACAGTTAATTGGGTCAGTTGGAAGCAACAATGCGGTCGACCATGCGACCACATAACTGTTATGCGGTGCATTATGCGACCGCATAATAGTTATGCAGACCGCATAGTGACCGCATACACAGGCAGTTCTTTTGGCTATTTTGTAACCAATTATGCGACCGATATGCGGTTCGCATATCGGTTATGCGATCGCATACCTTGTTCCGGAGCTCCATTTTTAGGTTTTTAAAACCTGACCCTATTTCGCTAAATACACTCTTTGGGCCATTTTTGAGACATAATCTGATATTTTAGAGTGTGAGAAAGTGCCCTAGAGTGAGAAGGTGTTCTTCAATAATTTTTCTTCAATTCTTGCTCAAGTTTTGGAAGATTAAGAAGGGAAGCTCACTAGGTCTTCATCCTAGAGGTAAGATTCTACACCCTGAACCCTAATTTCGAAATCTTCTGAAAATGGGTAACTAGCAAGATAATTTTTGGGCATGAGAGTTATTTATTTTACATGCATGTGTTATAAAAGGGTGTAGGAAGATTGTTGAGCTAAAAATAGTAAAGATTGGGTTATGGGATGATGGAATCCTTCATAAAAAGGACATTGAAACCTTATGCACACCTAGTGTTTGATAAAATGCTCAAGTGAGCTAGAACCATGATCATCTTCCAAATTTTGATTCAATTTGTTATATTTCTACAATAGATTGAAGTTGCTAAGAATTTCAGGATGTTTTAGAGTTTAAGGAAGCTAAATTGAGGTATGTTGGCTAAACTCTTCTCTTAGAATTGAATTCCACGATATTCATGTAAATTATGTAAGTCCCGAGTGATTCATTATGAAACAGGCTATTCCGAGTAAGATTGAGTTGAAAATATATGTTCAACAAGCATCCCAAATGCTTTATTCATGTTATGTTACCAATTGAGGAT